AAAAGAAAAAAGCTATGTTTTTGCCTCAACAACACATTCAAATAAACAGAATCCGATATATAAGTTCCAGTTTACATATGTCTGTTCAGCTCGGACCACACTCGAGAACGTATTTGGCTCTCACGGTCACAGACTGCATTATTAAAATTCAATAAAAGTAACCAGGTGCCGGACGATATGGAAACTGTCATACATATATCTTCCAGATGCCAGTCTTTATAAGGGCTGTCAACACAAGGATACAAAGTGGGTGAATCCATCTCTCCCCTTGTCTGAACCAAACGACTGGTAGCACAGCTTATTTAAATCAATCGCGCCACACAATCCCTACTACAAGTGTACATACAGCTTTTCCCTTATTGTTCAAACATTTTTTGATACCAAATAATAGATTTAAGAATTTAATACCTTTGATTCCCCTTGACTAGCGAAAGCACTTACAACGTCACATCCTCTAACAAAGTTCCACTTCCATGAATATCTACAAGGTTTCCGATATTGACGTAACGTGTCCCATATTCTACACTTTTATATCAACAGACACAACAATAACAATTATAGTCACCTTGATCATCATGAACCAGATAGTTCATAATAGGGATCGCAAGGAATTGCACAAAACCCTAAAGATTCAGATCAAATAACACTTTAAAACCTTTACTATTGACTGCTAAGGCTGTACACGTATAAAAATGCACAACAAAAGCATCCATGTTAGATTTGCAGGGAAAAGAAAATCTGCTCAAAACGGCCTGTTTTTAATTATTATTATCCTCTTGCTAGCCTACAACAAAAACAGCTTGGTATATTGCACCCAAACCTTTTGTAGAATCTATATAAATACAATTACATATAAGGGAAGCAACTTTTCATTAATCATTAACTTACATAACTTCCGTCCAGCTAGTACTATATAAAGTACTGCGAAGGTTATAGGGGTATTGAAAAGTCGATTTGTTTCTTCTATATTTTATATACTAATAAACATCATAATTCTGATGCAGACAATGTTATTCTTACCCCTTGAAGCTAGCTTTCTTCGAAATATCTGGTGTTCCTTTAAAAAGCTTAAGTACAAGGTGAGTCAGGAATGACCAACCAATAATAAGACGAACATTAGATAACTGTAACATGTAGATACTCAATACTTTGTACACTATACAATCGGTGTCTTTAGGGAGCCAATCCCTATTATTATGTATGAAGCGAAGGAGTAAACAAAAAGTCAATACACATAATCTTTAATTTTATTACACACATTTGTAAAATGATTACTTTAAAAGACAAGGTTTATTTAAAGGATGATTTAGACGTATAGGTCCTTCAATAAAATGTGTTTTATACTCTGCACTACAGTGTACTACGCAGGATTTAAAAATTAACCTACATAAAAACTGGCTTAAAGCAAACGTCACAATGAAATGGAATATCTCAATTAATGGAAAATAATGGAATAGATAGCCAATAAAGAATTTAAACAAGATAATGTCAGGATAATTTGGGGAACACGAAATCAGCCAATAAAGAATTTAAACTAGATGATGTCAGGATAACTTGTGGAACACGAAATCAGATTTTCAACCACAAGTACACCAACAGCAGTTGTTAATTTGCTCATAGATCACAATAAAGCCTTCTACTTTGATTTGCGGAAAGCGTTAGCGAATTATAAATAACGAAAGAAAGTAAAACTTAAAACATATTTATTGTCGCATACATACATAATATCTACAGTTGCAACGTCACCAGGACAACCTGACCTCATAAGGTAGAACTGGTTGATGCCACGTTAACCCTAACCCGGTAAAACTTTATAATCATAGATATTATATCATGTGTATCCGATGATGAACAAGTTTAAAGTTAGAGAATTATACTCATCATGGGTTCTTTTTTCGATGACGAGGAACCCACTTTGAGACTAACAAAGGTTGGAGACGGCTTGAATGGTACCTGATGATGACAAACCTTAGTCGAACGTTGTACATTTG